TGGTCGTTCTTTTATAGTCTGAATTCACTCCGGAAACAGCAGCAAATGGAGAGTAATGAGCTGAAAGAAAGAGCAAGTGAACAAAGATGCATTAAACATAATGAATGCTTAATGTACATGCAACCACAACTTTAAAATTTAAAACCATTACATTTGTGATGCAAAACCATTACATGAAATCTAAAAAATAAACAAAGGTGTTTCATTGCAGACAGTGATATTTGTGAAGCACCACATCAGTCTTTGACTAAACCAAAGCTGAAGCGGATTCAGACTCTGATTAATCATGCAGTCCTGCTCTTCAATGATGTTCTGCTGAAGTGCACCTCATTCTCACTACTGGCTCTTGAAATTGTGATAAATGTGAAGATGTACAGGAATAACTTCATCAGAAATGGACATTTCTCTTTATTAAAGACATACAAAAAAAAAGTAGTGGACTACTTGCACTGAACATCAGGGCCCATTTGTATAAAACTTCTCAGAAATGCTCATAAGAATAGCCTTCAGCTTTGACTTAGAGGTTCTGTATGTAAGTTTTTGACTCTACTAAAGCATAAAAATACCACAATATGTTTGCAAATATGTAAGACACATGCTAATTTAACATACTTGTTTATCTGAAAAACAATGCTACATTTAGGCATTCTCCTTTGAAAATGTGCGTTCCGTGTCGGAATGTCTGTCTTTGTTTTGGTCTGTGTGACTCCGCCCACTGCCGGTTTACCCAATTGTATTTTGGCACCGCAGGTTGCCAGTTGGCGGAAAACACAGCGCATTTCATTTCAGTCATGGAGCTGCCAAACAAATGGGGTCAGAGTCAGCAATCTGGCAACCTGCGTCTGCATCAAATCTGAGGAGGAGGGGCCGGGTGAAAAAAACCCTCTCCGATATTTTCAAATTGGACTGCAATCCTACATACAGCACCTTTAAGTGTCAAAAAATTCTTAGTAAAAAGTAAGACTTTTCGAAGAGTAGGAAACTTTTATAAAGAAGCTAAAAGCAGCTTTCAGTAAAGTCTACCACTGATTCTTAAGTGTTGACTGAGGTGTCACTTAAGTGTTGTGAACTAAGGACTTCAATGATGCCATGAATCAGCCAATAGTGAGCCTGCTCATGTTAAGTCACAGCAGCACAACGCCAATCATTTTTTAATGTAACTACAATAAAATCATTTCATTAAGACACTGAGATATTTTAATATTTAAGTGTATTTTAAATGCTTTGCATTGTGCAAAATTATCACAAATTACTGATGATGATCAATGATGTGAACATCAACGGCTCCAATTACTCCAGGAAAGCCCACAATCCTCATAGTGGCTTGTTTTGTTTTGTTTTTGCAGCATGGTTTGATGGTCAGTTGGAAAGTCAATGAATTGCCATATAGTAGTGGCCAAAATAAAAGTGCTAACGATTTTGTAAGCATATTGCATAATTGCTTAGAGTCCATTGTTTTATTTGTGAGACATGCCAAAATTGTGTGCTTATAATTTTTACCCATGCTGTCATACAAAGAAATTATGAACACATGCAAAAACAAGAGAGGACCAATGAAATATGAACTGATTATGTTGTAGTCAATGTGACAGTGTTGCCAATTTAGTGACTTTGTCACTAGATTTTAGTGACAACAAATTACATGAGGGCTAAACACTAAAGGTCCGTTCACACCAAGGATGATAACTATAATAAATGTGGCACAGATCGGATATGACTTATGATGTGTAAGCAGGGAAAAATCATGTGGATTCTAATATTCTACTGGCCTCATACATATGTGGAAATATAACTCATTTGAATCAGACGTGAATATGTGGACAGATATCAACGTGAGTCATATGTAACTGAAAAAGCAGTGGTGGTGAATGATGTGAACTCAGGTGGACACCAGCCGTGATCACATTACTCTTTTCCGTGATGCAGCGGAGATTTTCTGGTCCGTACGTCTACATTGCGTTGTTTGGTCAAGTGTACAGTGTAAATGCAGATCTTGGATATGGATCACAATTAAAATAAGATGTAAGCTGGTCATCAAAAACATCAGATATAGTCAACAAATAGAAATTAGGCATCAAGACCTGCAGGGCAAACGCGGCTTATACAGACAAGACGTGGCACTTTTAAGTTTATGTGTGCATATGTGTTCTGTAAGGCTTCAGGCATAAAGGTTTTTAACTCTAACCACAGAGTGTTACTCCACATCCACTGAGTATCATAACTGGTTTGGTTTCTGTCATCAGAAACCTCTTCCTCTGTTGTGTGGGTGTTTTTCCCTCAAGACATTGTCAGAAGCTTGATATTTTAACGCTTGATAGATTCAGCTGTGGTTGCATATGTCCTGATTTCTCATCAGAATAAATGTATTATGCATGTAACAAACCACCTCATATATAACATGCAGAGTTTTACTTTGTCCTACTGAACGGATCTGCACAGTATATTTTCGAGCAATTCAATTAAAATCTCAATATTATGAGTGAAACTTTACTTATCTGACCATTATAACTGTTACATTAAATGAAGAAGTGTCATATCAGTCACAAGGTTCAGTACTGGAATTAAACATGGAATTATCTTTTATTGTTTCGCTGATGATACTCAGTTTATATTTCCTCAAGGCCTTAGGAACCTCCTCTAGATGATATTAAAGCTGGATGACCAGTAATGTCCTGCTGCATGTGCTACAGCTGTGCACAGGCCTCTGTAAGCAACACCATCAGCCACAACAAGCTGGCTTTGAGTCCCAGAATGCTTTCATCTCTGTTGTCTGGCCAGTCTTGCTGGACTCAGCAGAGCTCATTCATTGTGCGGTCTTCTGCTCACTGACTGAAACACATGGAGACTCGCTCTAGTCCTTCCATCTCGGGCTTATTCCCAGCAGCTGAGCTCTTGATGCACATCAGCTCCACGTCCGTTCCTCGCATGTACTTGAGTGTTGGATCATGTTTCTGAAGACAGAGACACATTCTCTGTATGTGGATCAGAGTCGAGAGCAGTGACTTTCTGAAGATGTCTATTGAGGATTATGGTCAATGCAACAAGAATATCTTCCATGACGCTTATTGCATCACAAATTGAAAATGGTGTGCATTTCCAACCCGATCTCACTCCTGGAAAACATAACTATTTTATGAGGTGACGATTTTGTATGAATTTCAACTGAACTTTGTTGACCAAAGTGCTTCACAAAAACAAGAATAAACATCAAAACACAACTTACAATTAAAACTAACACTTATAGGAGGTTCCCAAAATAAAAATTCCCTACTTCAAAAGCCAGACTAAAAAGATGTGTCTTCAACTGAGACCTAAAAACCTCTATAGATGGAGCCTGCTGAATATAAAGGGGGAGACCATTCCACAATTTTGGACATACTACCAAAAAAAAAAAGCATGATCAACTTTAGACTTCTCTTTGGACTGAGGGACCGTCAACAAAGCTGGATTTGTTGATCTTAGCGACCTACCCGATGTGTACGACGCTCAGAGATTGCAGATATAATTTGGGGACAAATTGTGTATAGCTTTAAAAACCAATAATACAATCTTAAAATCAATCCTATGCTTGACTGGAAACCAATGGAGAGAGGACAGCACTGGAGTGATGTGATCCCTTTTTTGTGCCGGTCAAAAGCCTAGCTGCGGCATTCTGCGCAAGCTGCAAGCGAGATAGTTTGTACTTTATGTACAATATTGTAATTTGTACAATATGAATCGTATAAAAATCACCCCTAAACATAACCATCCCTGGGTCATAATCAGATTGAACAAAAGCATATATATGACATATTCATACAAATTAGCCACCAATTCACCAAAATGTAAAATAGTTGCAAACATATAATACATAGAGCAAGCCATCTCTACCCTACCCACAATATACAGTGAATACATTAACCACGAAAAAAAAAAATCACACTCCCCATCATGCAACTCACCGATAATCAACATAATCATATATAATTACGAACAACAGAAGGGGATTATTTTTTTTTATTTCAGAAGAAATAATTGTTACCCTCTAGCTAACTTACCATTTAATGCTTTAAAGGGGTCATCGGATACCCATTTTCCACAAGTTGATATGATTCTTTAGGGTCTTAATGAAAAGTCTGTAACATGGTTTGGTTAAAATTTCTCAATGGTTGTGTAAAAAACAGACTATATTTCAGTTCAAACAACTTGTAAAAGTGCATGTAGCATCCTATGACCCCTTTAATAGACAGAGGGACAAAGGAGTTCTTAAAACGGTTAAGCCTACACTGAGGAACTCTGAAGCGTCTTCCCGAAGGAAGAAATTGGTACTCAGAGTGAAGGACATGAGTGGGGTCTGAAATACATTTCTGAGCCCGCCTAATAATTGTCTCATCAAAAAGAGCCTGAAGTGTGGGATGCTGCTTAACTCCCATCATTTTCACGGCTCTCTGTGTTTACCTGGGTTTAATCTGAGCTTTCAAATGTACACCGAGATTGCCAAACCAGGCTGAGATGTGGTAAAAGAGAAGCAGAATAGAAGCTGACAGAATAAACACGAATCACATGCGATCGTTGTGACGTGGTGAATCCAGCCAATCATAAAACAGCTGTGCTAATTACACTCCTCCATCCCCAGCTCCTCCTTCGTCCAGCCAGCATTAGGCCTTCTGATTTCCCTTTGAATCAGACTGATTCTAAAATTACGTGTACATTAAATTGAACATTAACCATACCGCCAAGCCAAACTGTATGCCAACTGCCAGTCATCGTTGATGATAGTGGTCCTGACAGGGCCAGAGCACAAATCTTAAACTACAGTTTTGAGTAAAGGAGTCTTTATGACTGTAGCCTGAGAGCTGAAACAGGAAAAACATATTTTATTTCTGGATACAGCAGTGTCACAGCGAGGGCCAAATTCTGAGTGGAGGACGAGCTTCTGAAACTGGAACTGACTTCACAGGGAGGGTTAGGAAAGTAGCCCGCTCTCATTCACCTCCTTCAAAGTCTGTTTCTCTGTTCGTTCCACTGTTGTCTGTAAAGATGGAGCTGCATCTGGCCATTCTTACCCTCGCTGTTTGTCTCTCAGCTGATGCTCAGTGTAAGTTCATGCTTTGTATATTAAAATACATCCACAGATTTTTTTTTTTATGTGAAAAGCCTCTACAAGAATGTATGATTTCATGAAGCACACTAATGCTTTGAGTAAGCTTTTTATACACTGTGATACGTTTACTTCTGGTGATGTATTTTGATCACCTTGTCATTCAAACAGTTGATGACTAGTTGACTACAAGTGGTGAGTATAAGTGGTCAGTGGATGTTAAGATCAGCTGTACATTTAAAAACTACCGGTGTGTTAAACCAGTGACAAAAAATATGTTTGCTTTTTTTCCCCCTAAATCCTTTAATAGTTATACACTGCAAAAAAAAAAATGCTTTTCTTACTTAGCATTTGTGTCAAAATCAAGTACGTAAAACAAGAAAAAAAATCTGCCAATGGGGTAAGCAAAAAAATTAAATATAATAAAAAAAAAAAACTTTTTTTTTACTTGTCTAGTAAATGCTTCTTGATTTAACAATTTTTAGGTATTTGGAATAGAAACAAGACAAAGATACTAAGTAAGAAAAGCATACGATATGCCGTTCATCCTTTATTTCTCTCGGCCTCTGGATAGTTCTAATTTATCTTTTGTCTCTTGATGTTTGTTCCATTTCAGTTCTACACAACGATTTCAAAATTAATGGATGTTCTGACACAGAAAAAGAATCTGTGTGTGGATCAGATGGAGAAGAGATATGGCATGCTGACTTTATTCAACAGATGGGAGTAAATACATTACCAGATTTCGCAGATGCTTTGCGCTTTCCAGGATTTTATGAATCAAGCATCGCGGCACAAGAAGCATGCAAGCAAAACCTAGCTGTATGCATTAAAGCTTACAAGAGCCCGCCAGAGGAAATGGGTATGATGTAAATTTGCACTATTTGATGAACATTCAATTCAATCAGTTTGGAAATAGAACTTAAATGAGCTCCATATTATGCATTCGGTGTCATCGAGAGTTTGGTTAAGAGTGAGCTTTGGCTTACAAGATTAGATATGTTATTTGAATGAGATCAGATTCAGCTCAACACAGTTTTGTGTGTTCCCAGACCCCCCCGAGACGTCCATCTATCCGAAGAATGATGTTCAGCTGGGTGTTGAGAACTCCCTCGTCTGTCACGTCACGGGCTTCTTTCCTCCGCCTGTCAACATCTCGTGGACCAAGAACAATGTCGTTGTGACGGAAGGTGAGAGTCTGAGTCGGTACCGACCGAGGAACGACGGCACCTTCCACATCTTCTCCTCTGTGGATATTGTTCCTGAAGAGAGGGACATTTACAGCTGTACGGTGAACCACAGAGCCCTCCAGGGCCAAGCGCAGACCAAAATATGGGGTAAGTGCCACTCAAATCAAATGACAGTAAATCGTGCTATTCCCAGTTGTTAAATGATGTACGTATATACGTCATTCTGTGACAAAGTGCATCAGCATTACAGCACTGACAAGTGTATACAATGCTCAACAGGTGTCCCAGAGACGACTGCTGTCTCGCCCCGTCTGGGTCCGGCGGTGTTTTTTTTTTTTTTTTCAGAAGAAATAATTGTTACCCTCTAGCTAACTTACCATTTAATGCTTTAAAGGGGTCATCGGATACCCATTTTCCACAAGTTGATATGATTCTTTAGGGTCTTAATGAAAAGTCTGTAACATGGTTTGGTTAAAATTTCTCAATGGTTGTGTAAAAAACAGACTAACTGAGGAACTCTGAAGCGTCTTCCCGAAGGAAGAAATTGGTACTCAGAGTGAAGGACATGAGTGGGGTCTGAAATACATTTCTGAGCCCGCCTAATAATTGTCTCATCAAAAAGAGCCTGAAGTGTGGGATGCTGCTTAACTCCCATCATTTTCACGGCTCTCTGTGTTTACCTGGGTTTAATCTGAGCTTTCAAATGTACACCGAGATTGCCAAACCAGGCTGAGATGTGGTAAAAGAGAAGCAGAATAGAAGCTGACAGAATAAACACGAATCACATGCGATCGTTGTGACGTGGTGAATCCAGCCAATCATAAAACAGCTGTGCTAATTACACTCCTCCATCCCCAGCTCCTCCTTCGTCCAGCCAGCATTAGGCCTTCTGATTTCCCTTTGAATCAGACTGATTCTAAAATTACGTGTACATTAAATTGAACATTAACCATACCGCCAAGCCAAACTGTATGCCAACTGCCAGTCATCGTTGATGATAGTGGTCCTGACAGGGCCAGAGCACAAATCTTAAACTACAGTTTTGAGTAAAGGAGTCTTTATGACTGTAGCCTGAGAGCTGAAACAGGAAAAACATATTTTATTTCTGGATACAGCAGTGTCACAGCGAGGGCCAAATTCTGAGTGGAGGACGAGCTTCTGAAACTGGAACTGACTTCACAGGGAGGGTTAGGAAAGTAGCCCGCTCTCATTCACCTCCTTCAAAGTCTGTTTCTCTGTTCGTTCCACTGTTGTCTGTAAAGATGGAGCTGCATCTGGCCATTCTTACCCTCGCTGTTTGTCTCTCAGCTGATGCTCAGTGTAAGTTCATGCTTTGTATCTCCTCCATCCCCAGCTCCTCCTTCGTCCAGCCAGCATTAGGCCTTCTGATTTCCCTTTGAATCAGACTGATTCTAAAATTACGTGTACATTAAATTATTGAACATTAACCATACCGCCAAGCCAAACTGTATGCCAACTGCCAGTCATCGTTGATGATAGTGGTCCTGACAGGGCCAGAGCACAAATCTTAAACTACAGTTTTGAGTAAAGGAGTCTTTATGACTGTAGCCTGAGAGCTGAAACAGGAAAAACATATTTTATTTCTGGATACAGCAGTGTCACAGCGAGGGCCAAATTCTGAGTGGAGGACGAGCTTCTGAAACTGGAACTGACTTCACAGGGAGGGTTAGGAAAGTAGCCCGCTCTCATTCACCTCCTTCAAAGTCTGTTTCTCTGTTCGTTCCACTGTTGTCTGTAAAGATGGAGCTGCATCTGGCCATTCTTACCCTCGCTGTTTGTCTCTCAGCTGATGCTCAATGTAAGTTCATGCTTTGTATATTAAAATACATCCACAGATTTTTTTTTTAATGTGAAAAGCCTCTACAAGAATGTATGATTTCATGAAGCACACTAATGCTTTGAGTAAGCTTTTTATACACTGTGATACGTTTACTTCTGGTGATGTATTTTGATCACCTTGTCATTCAAACAGTTGATGACTAGTTGACTACAAGTGGTGAGTATAAGTGGTCAGTGGATGTTAAGATCAGCTGTACATTTAAAAACTACCGGTGTGTTAAACCAGTGACAAAAAATATGTTTGCTTTTTTTCCCCCTAAATCCTTTAATAGTTATACACTGCAAAAAAAAAAATGCTTTTCTTACTTAGCATTTGTGTCAAAATCAAGTACGTAAAACAAGAAAAAAAATCTGCCAATGGGGTAAGCAAAAAAATTAAATATAATAAAAAAAAAAAACTTTTTTTTTACTTGTCTAGTAAATGCTTCTTGATTTAACAATTTTTAGGTATTTGGAATAGAAACAAGACAAAGATACTAAGTAAGAAAAGCATACGATATGCCGTTCATCCTTTATTTCTCTCGGCCTCTGGATAGTTCTAATTTATCTTTTGTCTCTTGATGTTTGTTCCATTTCAGTTCTACACAACGATTTCAAAATTAATGGATGTTCTGACACAGAAAAAGAATCTGTGTGTGGATCAGATGGAGAAGAGATATGGCATGCTGACTTTATTCAACAGATGGGAGTAAATACATTACCAGATTTTGCAGATGCTTTGCGCTTTCCAGGATTTTATGAATCAAGCATCGCGGCACAAGAAGCATGCAAGCAAAACCTAGCTGTATGCATTAAAGCTTACAAGAGCCCGCCAGAGGAAATGGGTATGATGTAAATTTGCACTATTTGATGAACATTCAATTCAATCAGTTTGGAAATAGAACTTAAATGAGCTCCATATTATGCATTCGGTGTCATCGAGAGTTTGGTTAAGAGTGAGCTTTGGCTTACAAGATTAGATATGTTATTTGAATGAGATCAGATTCAGCTCAACACAGTTTTGTGTGTTCCCAGACCCCCCCGAGACGTCCATCTATCCGAAGAATGATGTTCAGCTGGGTGTTGAGAACTCCCTCGTCTGTCACGTCACGGGCTTCTTTCCTCCGCCTGTCAACATCTCGTGGACCAAGAACAATGTCGTTGTGACGGAAGGTGAGAGTCTGAGTCGGTACCGACCGAGGAACGACGGCACCTTCCACATCTTCTCCTCTGTGGATATTGTTCCTGAAGAGAGGGACATTTACAGCTGTACGGTGAACCACAGAGCCCTCCAGGGCCAAGCGCAGACCAAAATATGGGGTAAGTGCCACTCAAATCAAATGACAGTAAATCGTGCTATTCCCAGTTGTTAAATGATGTACGTATATACGTCATTCTGTGACAAAGTGCATCAGCATTACAGCACTGACAAGTGTATACAATGCTCAACAGGTGTCCCAGAGACGACTGCTGTCTCGCCCCGTCTGGGTCCGGCGGTGTTTTGTGGAGCAGGGTTCACTCTGGCGCTGCTGGGAGCAGCTACGGGAATCTTCTTCTTTATTAAAGCAGCTGCAACTCGCAACACAGACACGGCAGAAAAAGAAAAACATTTCATGCAGTGGACCTACCAATAAAGACTTTTTCTGAATGCAATTAAACGGTGTTTTGTGTCATTTCAGTGATGCTGGTGTTGAAGATCGATAGACGCATAAATGCAAAGATCTGGTTGAACCTTGAAAGTTGATTAAATCATGAAATCTTTTCTTGCTCTATTTGCTCAGATTACTTGACGAACTGCAAATGTAACATAATCAATGCTGATTTTGAGTGACTTAAATCAAATAAGACACTTTTGCTACTTTCGTACTACATGTAGTTGCTTTTGTCATGGACTGAAATGTTTCTTTAGGCGCACTATGTACGTTTTTTTTGCCCTAGTGGTTAATAAAGGAAAATGCATGAGTCTTCTCAAGTTTGTTATTAAAAATGTAGACGCGTGGCAAGTGCGCTCATAATAGAGCGCACTCGTTTTTTCAAGGCGCACCAATAGCTGTTTCCATCCACTTATTTTTATGCGCATTTTGGAATATCGCATAAAAAAACCGCTGGATGGAAACGCCAAGATGCGCATAAATTCTAAAAATGTGCATAAAAAACTAACGCGCACAATTTTATCCGATAAGAAAACTACGATGGAAACACATTTACCGAATAAATTCCACCATGCGCATTGAAAAAGTCATGTGACTTTGCGCTATGAGACGGGATAACGTGACTAGCAGCGGACGGATCTCGTTCACAGCAGCTATATGTTGTTCTGGTCGTTCTGAAACGCCTGAGCAAAGTATTTCTGTATAATTACTGTCTCACACGACTGCTTTTAGAGGCGGATGCTGCTGTTTGGGAACGCAATGACCGCATTTATTGTGTTACGTCTGCTCGCTCTGAGGCGCGAGTAATTTATTACATATAAAACAATTATTAAATTCAGTGGCTTCTCCTAGTTTTCTTAGAGATATATAGTGCCAGTTTATCAGGAAGTGACGGTTTTGTTCTCTTTGACTCGTTGGATGGAAACGGCGCTTTATTCGCAAATGTTTTATGCGATATTCCAGTTTTGCGTTAAGTTACATTCGAATCTTTGGATGGAAACATAGCTAATGCCGCGGTGAGATGAAAACATCTCAACTTTCCAGAACGCTGCAAGCGCATGGTCATGTGACGAGAACCAACCAATCAGCTTCACCTTTTCCGTAGAAACATTAAAGCTCAGCCCAGATGGAGGAATATCTGATCACAATTTTTTTAATTAATCTAGCTACTGCAATAGATTTTCGTTGCTGGAAATGCTTTTATCCACAGCTCATGGTTGCTTAGTAATGAAGCACTCATTATATAAATTTTTTATATATGTTTTTTGTTATATTTTTGTACAAAATATTTTTACATTGTGCATCTTTAAAACTCTACCATTAATAATTCAGGTATGTTCATATATATATATATACACTATATATTAGTGCTGTCAAACGATTAATCGCGATTAATCGCATCCAAAATAAAAGTTTATGTAATATATGTGTGTGTACTGTGTATATTTATTATGTATATATAAATACACACACATTCAGTATATATTATGAAAATATTTACATGTATGAATACATATATTTATATATATAATATAAATTATATTAATATAAATATATATTTAATATATAAACATTACCTATTTTTCTTAAACATATACATGCATGTGTTTGTATTTATAATTGTTCTTTTGAAATAGACATATGGAGAAGAAATTAATAAAAAGGTCCTGATACAGAAACACGATGGCCAACAAAACAGAGAAACTAAGGGCTTATAAACAGTGTGAGGTAAACACCTGGAACAGAAACTGGGATGTGATCCATCAGAAACTATAGGAACTAATGAGCAAAAGGGGATCAGGGCAAACAAAACCAAGACACAATGAAACCACACAGAGTCAACATCAGTTCCAGTTCTGTTCCCATCAAACTAAAAATGGGACTAACTTTCATAATGCCTGTTGAAACATCAGGATTCTTTCAAATAAATACGATTCTGGCCATATAGCGATTTACCATACAGTTTTCATCAAATTGTCTTGTTATTGATGTAAATATAAAATAAAGCAAAATAAGTTTGGTCTGCTTGTG